GCCGCGAAACCCCCCCCCCCCCCCCCCCCCAACCTTTGCCTCAATACATGAAGTCCGGAGGGCAACCCCTTACCCATGGGGAAGTGCAGGGTCAGGGGTGGCACTTACTGTATCCTGTCCATGGTGGTGGTATTGCTGGTCTGGACTCTTCCCCTGAGGCCGGGCTGCAGAAGGGCGCCCCCTTCTGCCACGGCCGCTTTCCAGTCCAGCCCTGCATGGCATCTTCTGGAAACAAGAAGTGTGGTGGAGCAGTTCCACCTGATGGCAGGGTGGCACACTTGAAGAAGTTTGCACATTCACAGCACCCAGGGTGCTGTGGGACTCCAGCTGAGAATCGCTGGTATAGCTTTTATCAGCCCCATAAATGACAAAGGTAAAAAATGGGTACGACCAGTGTAGAAAGATGGGTGGAGTGTGACGATGACTAACGCACAGCTAGCAAGAATAGTTGCTTAAATGGCACTCTGGACTCGATCTGGAGAATCTCCAAACTGCTTTTTTGCATGGGTCCAATGTATAATGACTGTTTCAGGGAGCTACTTGAGAGCTATCTCTCATTTACCACAAAGATTGTTTTTTAAATTCAATCTTATGTCAGTTATGCAGCTCCAAGACTGACCACTACAGTGTCTGGAAAGAGATCTGACTAGAGAAAGGGCAAACTGGCTTTAATCCGTCTGACTCCAAGGTTGATATACTTTTCCCCCCCTGAGATTTGAATGGATGGGAAGCAGAGCTCTGGTTACATAGATAATCCCAGACTGTAGGCACACTTGTTTTTTGTTTTTTAATGTTGTAATATCTGAATATAGCTGTTACAATTTCAGTACCAGCACCTCATCTGCCTCTCAGAGATGTGAGCCCAATGGGCCATATCATTTTACTGGGTGGGGTTCTTCCACACTATGTGGTATGTGTCAATTTGTATAAAGGCACATGGGCAGGTAGGTGTACACAGACAAACTAAAGGGACAGTGGCATGCTAAGTTTCATTATCTGTACCAGAGAAGCCTTAATTTGCATTCAATAAAATCACCGAAGTCATTAATTAATGAGCAGGCAGGATTGCATTGTTTTTTGTTTAGCTGGCACACTTGACTGGACAGCCTAGCTATTCTAGGCTGAGTTACTGGCAGGTGGCCACAGAGTACTAGGATCTGCTTAAGCCCTCTGCTTTCCAAGGCTATTATGCTATCCCATCTTTGCATATATTTTGTCAAGAAGTACCTATTCTTGGTGTCTAAAGACACTGATGACTTAATACTGTGTATTACAGTAGGCTGGATTCTTTCCGTTTCATTGAACAGTGGAGGCTTCGTATAGATAGACCTGATGCCTTCACCCTGGCAGTTAGCTTGGATCCTTGTCTTTCTGGAATCACCACTTTATTCTGCTTTAAATTATAATGCAGATAACTAGGTCTGGTGATGCTCCTCCAGTCTACATTAGCACTGTGCCAGGCAGTGGGGAGTTAATTTTGCTGCTTAATAACAGTAAATAGTTTTAACGATAAATAGCTGGAATCAGTGGTGTTGGCTACCCTGAGTTCAAAACTGGGGCAGATCCCTCCCCAAAAACAGGTGATGAGCTTAACCACCCTAATTTAAAAAAAAAAAAAAAAAAAATATATATTTTTTTTAATGCAGGAGCCATATTATCAACCTTTTCTTCACTACCCCATGGGTTTCTCACATAATCACATGACTCCAGGAATTTGGACTTTAAAAAAAATCCACAGACTACTAAAAGGCTCTCAATCAAATGACAAGATGCTGTCAGTGTCACAAAGGGGCCACCTCAACTATACTTTCTGTGGTGGTTGCAACTTTAATATTTTCACTTGGAATTGTGGATAACAGAAAACTGATAATGCTTTCTCACTTATAGAAGTATGTAGATTTGCACCTTCAAGACTAAGGTGCGTGTGTGTCTGTATATGTGTGATCTATTTAGAAGCTCACATGCTGTTGCTCATATACATAACATGTCTTGTTTTAGCCACAGCCCAAAAGAATACCCAGGATTGAAATGGTTTTGTTGCTAACTTTACTTACTAAGCAGACTTAGTGCTCATCCTTCAATGCCTTTGAAAGTCTTCGTGCTGATGTGGTATCTTGTGTATTAGGAGCATTCATTCTTTTTTAATTTATTTTCCATGTAAGACACTTTAGAACCTGTAGCTTTAGGCCTATATTGTGATTTGCTTGGACCAAATTCATTGCTGTTCCCACTCTACTGATCTAGATGGCATCGCACTAGTGATGGCTTTGGCCTGTCTTTGGCAGCTGGCTCACGAACAGACAGCATGCAGGTGGACATTGTTGGCAGTCATGGATGAGAAATCCTTTGTAAAATCTCTCAAGCATGCAGGTCAGATGGGGTCATTTATTCCAGCTGAGGGTGGTCTGCTCTGAGATGTTCTGACAGCAAAGCTCAGGGAAATCTCTTGCTAGTCTTAGTTACCGCCTTACATGTCAGAATAAATTAAGAGGTTGGTGTCAGCCTTCTCCCTGCCCTTTCCAGCAGTTACAAAACTAGTGCCTATGTCAAAATTGTTGAGCAAACAGAAGTTCAACCAAGGTGAGTAAAGAACTATGGTCCTTGTCACCTAAGAAAATTCCAATCCGAAGGATGCATGTGTGGTCCCATTACTGGAGTATCTGAGCCTGTCGCTAGATTTCAGTGTGTGTGTCTTCATGAGATGGTAAATGCTCAGTAGACTTATTCTATTGTGCATTAGCACGTCACAGCAAAATCCTTGCTATTGCGCTACTGTGTAGGAATTAGTCTACTGTGCATTAATGTCACTTGAAAAGCGTGCGCCAGTGCTACTGCATAGTAGCGCCAGTTGCTGCACATTTCGTTAGTACCTGTTATTAGAGGTACTACATTTAATGTGCAGTAACCACAGTGTATTAATGCACGTGTAGACGTGCCCATTCTGTTTTACTTCACAACACCAAGGGTAGTGCTGTTATCCCTGTCTTTCAGAAATGGCACTCTCTCAAAGTGAGTAATTTGCTCAAGGTCACACATGAAATCTCTGGTGGAAGAGGGAGTTGAATCCAGGCTAGTGTCCTAACCCTGGGTTCTCCCTAAGGAAGGAATTGTTGGAAGAGGAATTGCTGAATGAATCCTTTAAAATGCATTCCCACCCAATGAGAGATTGAATTGTCTTTTGTGTAACATTAAACATTTTCTGTCTTCAGAGTGGAGGGAACTTACAGGGCCAGGTTCACTGGCTGGTGTTAAATTGGGGCAGCTTGATTGATGTAAGTAGTGTTAGCCAGCTGAGGGTCTGGCTGGTTGCATCTTGCTGACTTCTCTGTTAGATGGATTATACCAGAGGAGTCAAATGGCACCTGTGGAAGGTTATGTCCTGGCAGTGGGCACTGTACCTCTGCAAGTCTATCCACCTCTGGTGAACCACACATGCTCATTTCTGCCAGTAACAGGGCTATTAACATATCTGAAAAAACTGTTTTCCACAGTGGACAGCTTTGTAAGATAAAGTTTCTCTTGGAGCCTGTATTTAAATATTACAGTTTAATGCATGCCCAGAACTGAATATAAATCAACAAGAGAAGCAGTTTTCTAAAGAACTCTTGCTCTCACCACAACTAGTCACAAATATGCTTGTGGAGTTTCTGCGTGTGTTGTGTGAGCTGTAACTGCTTTGTTTTTACTGAAGCACAGGCATCCTTATTAGCACAAAATATGTTTTGTTTAACAAAGCACATTTTGACCCCCAGACTCTGTACTCAGAATGTCAATGGGGTAAAAAGTTGATGGGCTATGTGGATTTTAAAGTGACAGTCAGAATCTCATCACAGGGCTGTCTGTTTGCTGTTTGCACAGCGGTCTGATCTCTCCTTAATATGTGTATGCAGCTCTCATTATTAGCACCACTAAGTAACCAGCAAGAGGACAATAGACCCTTTAATACACTTCCATAATCTTTTTCCTTTATCTCTCGTCCCGTTCTCAGCTTGTATCAGCAGCAGTGCCCGCTGGAAGGGTGGTGGTTGGTCAGTACTAATTATGTAAATGGAGCATGTCAGTTGAACAGTGTCTTGTAGGTTTTATTTCCCTATTGGACCAACCTCTCATAATACCCTTTCTGCAGTTTCAGTCCCCAACAGGGTAGTGGTGCCAGCAGCCTAATGTTATCTCAACTGTAGCTGACTTTTTTTCCCCCTCGTTAGTTAGTGCTGTTAATGTAGCAGGCCTCGCAAACCCCACTGATCTTTCTACTCTAACTATAAGATACTTGGAGGGGAATCAGGGATGGTCAAAAATGTAGACAACCATGTAAGTATCTTTTTTCTTTTCTGGCTTGGCACTGCAACAGTTTACTAAATCAAATTAACATTGCCCTGAAGGCAGAAGCAAAGAGCAGAAGGGAGTGGATCTTAGTTACACCCTTCTCCTTTAATTGGATGGGCTGTCTTAAAAAGAACTAGTGCCTGGCAACAGTTCAAAATGCATGAATGTCAGAAAATTGTTATAGCCTGCAGAAGGAGGGGAAAAAAGGAAAGGGAAATGCAAACTGAAACCCTAATGTAAAGCAAAGGCTAATAAGGAATGTGTGTGGGTTTTTCCCCTCAACTAATCCCATGCAAAGCCATATCTTTGGGTAGTCCAGTAGATAAAGAGAAGAGAGATTTGTTAAGATTTAGGCAGCTGAAAGAAAGGAGCCTTAGAACACAAGTCCTTTTCCCCCTGGACTCTGGCAGTAAATTACTGCCCTTTTTTTTTTTATAGAGGACACAATGCTACTTCTCTAAGCCACTGAAAGTTTTCTTTTGCCTGACATATATTCTAGTGGTCAAATGGAGTTTATATAACACCCAAGAGTGATGCCACATTTCTCTCTTTTGAGGAGGAGACTATGAGTACCACCCCAGTTGGTTGAAGGTCTGCTACCATCTGACAGCACATTGCCATGATTGCTGAGAAGTTTGCTGAAAAAAACAAAACAAAACTAGAGGGGCCTGGTCTTGTTCTCAGTTGCATGGCTTCATAAACTGGGGGTATTACTAGTGAAGGTAGTGGGGCCTGGTGCTGTGTTGTTATTTACAAGTCTGACTGCTCCCAGGCATAGATGACATGTAAGTGTTGATAGTGGGGGGGACATAACTGTGCATTGCCACCACTGTCCCCACTGCTGCTGGGCACTGCCTTTGGCCAGACTGCAGCCCCATCATCAGCACAGAAATCTGGAGGGGGAGCACGTGCCCTCTCCTCCCCCTGTGCTTCCCTCCATGCATTGCCTATGCTCCCAGGAACAGCCAGTGGTTCAGGATTTCCTTTTTATTCAGAGCAGTCTAAACTAAAAATAGAAGCTGGAACTCAAAAAATCAGGCAATTTAGAAGAATCTGAATGACACCTAAATAATGTTTAACTGAAGGTGTTTTGTGGTCTTAGATTTAAATTTAAAACTGAGATGTACACAATTCCTAGTTCGATTTTCCCCCCACCCTGCACTTGTTTCTGGAGCTGTACTTCATGTGCTGTTTACTCCAGGACCTGTGGTAAATGGTTTTACAGTCCTCTGTATCAGCCAGATCAATTCTACTATGCTTGAGGGAGCGTAGATAAAATAGCTTAAAGGTTCCCCTGCTGAAAGTGATAGCATCATCATTTTGTTGTAGAAGACAGAGTCAATCACTTGACATTTATTTGACTATGGTGCACTTGGTAGATTTCACACCCAGGGACTATAGCCAACCTGATGATGTCAGACAAGGGCTGTAGTTAAAAAAATTGCACAAATCCAATGTCATTCCTCTTTTGTAGACCAGATAATGAGTTCTGGTTTGTTGATTTTGGGGGGTTTTTTTTGGGGGGTGAGGGGAGGGAGAGGTTGGCTTTTGCTTTGTTTGTTTGCAGGGGGTGGGGAGTAGGGGTTGCCAACTCTGACTGAAGCTATTCTGGGAGATTTTTTTTTCCCCAACATGTTGTAATGTCATTAATTGCACTGTTCAAGTTGTTCACAATATCAATCCTGGATTGCTTTCAGGAGTCACTGGGAGAGCAATGCTGATTCCAGTAAGCTCCCAGCCAGTCCGGGAGGGTTGGCAACCCTAGAGGGGAGGGGTTGTCTTTATTCCACAGCTATAATTTGACCTGTTCTCCTTAACTGAAAGTATTTTTACAAGGATACTACATCACTTAAGTACCTCATGTACAAAGAATGCTGGGTTGATTGCATCAATGTTTTGTTACAAAGACGTCAGTAGTACTAAATGCTAATCCCTGCTAACCAAGAGGTTTTCTTCTTTTTTTCTTTTTAGGTTTTGTTTTTAGATTTTTGAGGGTCAAAATTGACTGGCCATGAGTACAAATGACTTGCCTAACATCTTTGAACTTCTGGAAACGGGCAACTTCACTGAAATCAATTGGACATGCAACAACGGAGACTGTATCATAGTTGATACACTAGTGTGCCCTAGCACACTTAACAAAAGTGTCCTATTGTATACCCTCTCCATTTTTTACATTTTTATCTTTGTAATAGGGCTGGTAGCCAACTCAGTGGTGGTCTGGGTCAATCTCCAGGCCAAAACAACTGGTTATGAAACCCACCTCTACATCTTCAATTTGGCTGTTGCTGAT